GCGCTTAAAAACAGAGCTGACTTGATGGGAGATAGCCACCTCAGTTTGTCTGTTGGACACGGTTTAACCTTGCTGTGTCCTCACCCTGGTTGTTGTTACCGTTGTTATAAGGGATTAAGAGCTACGGCTCATTGCATTTTTGGTTACAGTCTGTATCACTAAAGTGGACATGTGCAGGTGAACTCTGTTCAATTAGTATATGAAATGCCCCAAAATGTGAACTCCAGACAATAATAACCTGAGGGTAAATCCACGTGCGACTGCCTTTCCCCTCGTTCACCTTCGAAATCCTTGATTATTATATCATGCCAGAGTTCTGAAATTCAGTGACAATGTTGCTGAACAGTAGAATGTGATGGACGTTTTGTGCAGAACCTGTTTGACACTATGGGTTCCAGGACCACTAACACTCTGAGCTGAAAAAGTTTGGTCCTAACCGCACCCAACATCTACAAGTTTGTAAGCTTATAGACATCATTAAGAAGTAATTAACAGTCCCATGCTGAGACCTTTCTCAAAATTCAGACCGGTGGCAGGCTGCCAACAAAGAGAAGAAAATAGCGCAACCCCGACACGAGTGTGCTCAGTCAAACAATGAACTTACGACCGGCAGAACACAACTCCAGTTGAGTATGCCGATGCTGTATCTCAGCCGTGTTGGCCTGAAAATTTAAACATGCTAATTAAATCCAAAATCGTATAATCATTTTTAATAGAAACCGTATCTTAATTTGTTCTTGCACTGCATCATATCGTGTATTTCATCTGTATATGTGTAATGTGTATATGTATCAATGACTACACTTATACCGCATATTCTGCAACAGACTATAATTAATCACCTTATTATTGTCTCTCTATTTACCATGGCTGACTGCACTAATACCCTTTTAACAGTGGACACCGATATCAGTATACATGTAGGCTTTTTGTTCAAAAAGGAATATGCAGGAAATTATATGTAACAATTAACTGTGTACTAATTACATGTTTGAATGTTATCAGTTTTACGTTCTGAGATACAGTGATGTAAGCATCTTCTAAAATCTTCTAAAAATATAATAAAATACAAAACTCTCTGCCGTAATTTTTTTGTGGAAATCATTCGATCAAGTAAAAATGACTGCGTGACAAGACGAATCAACTATTTATACCCGATAAAAGAAACTGCCGTATTTTAGGAACAGTGCTACAACAAGACATTTGAAATTTCTAACAAGCAGATACATTAGAGACAGTGACTAGACTACAGGTACGTAATCCGTATCAATCAAAGGTGTAAAAAAAATGAAAATCATATCTGTAGGAGACCTACCAAATTACCAAGTTTTATCATTACTATATTTATTACAATGCAGATACTTTAGTGATAGATTTTGTAGAGGAGAGGGCATACACACAAGTATATTGCTTCCGTGTGTGAATGCAGGTTGTACTTGGTATCTCAGTTCTCAGTTTCATACCGGTTGTATAACTGAATTTGCATATGGAACCATGCGTACAGCATGACAATTACTTGCTATTCGTCAGTTTACAACACACATAACACGGTCAAACAATTTTAGGCACCGCTTTTGCGAGTTATTTAGTACAATAATGTTTTATTAAAATCTATTTCAATTTGTTTTCACCATTTTCCCTATTGACAGTCGTTGTTACGTGCGTCACTAGGTAATTAGTACGGATTGACCTTGTTTATTGTTTCTATACTTTGAGGATTTCTGTGGCAAGTGGCGGACGTAATTCAAACTCCTTCCGCACTGACACCGCATCAAATATATTTGTGTACCGATTACATAACTCTAATGGACAGGGTGGGTTGGTAGTTCACCGGACGACACTGTGTATATTGGGCGGCTCCTTTGATATCTCCTCCAAACATACGTTTATTGAATGACCCCATTAAACGATGATACACATCTCGATGAATATATCAAGGCACTAATTCATCTTTCATAAACATTTTTTTGTCTTTGTGCTTAATATATCCACATATCAACGAACATTTGTAAAACATGTATCCTAAAAAAAATAAACATTTTCAGGCTAGGTATTTGCCCACCGCAACACCTGCAGAACTGTTTATTCACGCGTGGTGTGGTAGATCGTAATTGACCGAGAGCAGGTATTGTAGAATCACCTGTAAATAAGGCCGACACTGTAATTAGATACAACGTACTAATGAGAATTATCATAAGAAGGCTGTTGTTTTTTCTGAACTGTTACCATTTTCATACCAAAAGTGACAATGCAGTTAAAATTTGCTTTAGTGTCACAATATTCACTCACGTTTTCCTCAATCGCATTAAAACATAATTCCCACTGGTCAGTTCGAAACCGCATGTAATTAAATAATTATTTCGAGATTTCGTTAGAATGTAAGATATTCAGCCAAACGTTATGCAATAAAAGACGAATAGTTTTTTTCATTAAAATACGCGCACGCGTACCTGTATATTGCATACCTAGTGTCACGTAATTGCCCAGTGTGATGTATCAACGGGACATAAAAAACGGGAAATGAAATAGAAACTAACTAAAATTTAATGTTGTGGAAAACAACTCCAATGAATTGGAGTACACGCACATGAATTCGTATGATAAACTGTCAAAACGTTTTGAGAGGTAAGGCCGGGTTCATTAAAGATTGCTGCAATATGTAAAACAGGTGAAATTTGTAGAACTAAAGGAAACATCCAACCAAATGCCCTTTTTAAATAGTAATGTAATGATATAATATAAAGTATATTTCACATGATACAATATACTTTGCAAACAGTTAGTTGATGCTTGAAAGGGACTGACGAAAACATGGGCGAAATATTTTAATAACGCCGTAAAATAGTTGAATTAAGTAAAAATTAGTTAAATATTGTGTCATGATACTTGAATAAATACATTTAATGTATTTGCGAAACAAAAACATGAGTTTTAAGTTAAGGAACATGTTCTCGCCCATGGGCCTGCCCATGGGCCAAACCTTTTCTCGCCCATGGGCGAAATATTTCAATATCGCTATAAAATCGTTGAATTAAGTTAAAATGAGTTAAATTTGGTGTCATGGTACTTGAATGAATACATTAAATGTATTTGCGAAACAAAAACATGAGTTTTAAGTAAAGGAACATATTCTCGCCCATGGGCCTACCCATGGGCCTACCCATGGGCCAAACCTTTTTCTCGCCCATGGGCGAAATATTTCAATATCGCTATAAAATAGTTGAATTAAGTTAAAATGAGTTAAATTTTGTGTCATGATACTTCAATGAATACATTAAATGTATTTGCGAAACAAAAACATGAGTTTTAAGTAAAGGAACATGTTCTCGCCCATTGGCCTGCCCATGGGCCAAACCTTTTCTCGCCCATGGGCGAAATATTTCAATATCGCTATAAAATAGTTGAATTAAGTTAAAATGAGTTAAATTTTGTGTCATGATACTTCAATGAATACATTAAATGTATTTGCGAAACAAAAACATGAGTTTTAAGTAAAGGAACATATTCTCGCCCATGGGCCTGCCCATGGGCCTGCCCATGGGCCAGACTTCGCCCATGGGCAGGCCCATGGGCCACACTTCGCCCATGGGCAGGCCCATGGGCGACATAGTCTAAATATTGAGTTTTTAAACAATTTTTTTTTCATTTTTTCTTCCTTGGTATGTTCCCATGAAAACGGCATGTTTAATTTTGTAAATACCTTTAACCGAGACTGGGCAAAGAGCGTAGAGTTTCTGGACTTTTGGGTTTCCAGAATTAAAATGGGACGTGTTTTGTTGAATGCGTTAAACAACAAACTAGAGCTAGAACCAACTGCGTATGTGCATTATCAACTGCGTATAAAGATACAGCTGCCACCTTGCACCCCAGTAGCTCTTTACCGGAGCCCTACCCGCTACTACATTAATTCCATGGGAAGAAAGGCGATATATCGAATGTTCAGTCAAACACATTTCAGTTTACAAAATGCTGATCATTTAAGAATTGACCTTCACTTTGTGTGAGTTCATTGGAGTGTGAACCTTCATAGACTGAGGGCAAAACTGTATGAACGTCGGAGCTTGCTCCGACGTTCATACAATATTTGGCCTTCACAACTTGCCAATGGATGTGGATGCACAACTTGCTCTTCACAAACATCCTACGCAGCACATGTATTCAAATCATATCCTCATTAGATGAGAAAGTTCTGTAAAGAACTTCCTCAGTCAGGCACAATGACAGCGCGTCGTAATACATTTACATCAAGTACAAGACGTCAAAATGGCCGACACGATAAACGTGACGGGAGAGATTTCCGAAGTTGTTAATGAACCTGTGGCGGTTACATGTGTTAGTCATCATTGATCAACTGGCCGATCATTGAAAGGTTAATAAAAATGCGTCAAACAGACACGAAGGTAAATTCCTAGATTGCTGGAGACGGTCAGTGTCAGCCCAGACACGGATCGAGTCAATAATACGATAGTTTAGATGTGCCTTTCTTCGTTTGTTCATTAGGATAGGCCGCAGCGAGGATATTCATGAACAATCATGCAGTCGCGCTCTCTGACATTTCTCAATGTATACTGAAACGCTGTCACCAAGAATAAAGGTTCTAAATGATCAGAAAGAACGCTTATGTATATTTCCGTGCTAGGGAATTCCCAGCGGTTTCCCCCGGAATGTGGAAGTAGTCCGTCAGTGTTTACGTCATTTCAAGAACACGGTCTCGTGAAAAACGTATGAACGTCAAATTGTGTCGTTCATACACTTATGAACGTCAATTTCGCGGTCACGTGACCGACCTCTCGTCCAATGGAAAAGCTGTATATCGTGTAAACTTCAAATTAAAAAATTATAAGATCTTGTCAACAAATGACAAGGTCTAATATTCTCCACTGAATCCAACTGTTTTTGTCTTGGAGGAAACATGGATAACAACATCAGAAATTGGGATTATCTTTATAGTCTACTGTTATCAGTGTGTAATACCGTCTGTCAAAATAACGTTGTCTTACTTCCAGGTTTACAGTCGCTTGAATTCGTTGAGCCTGTTTGTTCTGTGATCTGGTCTGTGTTGCACTCCTTGCAGTGGTCCTGTGCCGTGGAGTTTTGGTAGAAATGGAGAGGACACGCTGTACACGGGAAGTAGCCGGTCACTGAATACTGACCAATAGGACATGGTGCTGAAAGGGAGAGAGGACACTATGGAGTCTCACATGGAATACTGACCAATAGGACATGGAGCTGAAACAGAGAGAGGACACTATGGAGTCTCACATTGGATACTGACCAATAGGACATGGTGCTGAAACATAGAGAGAGAACACTATGGAGTCTCACATGGGATACTGGCCAATAGGACATGGTGCTGAAACAGAGAGAGGACACAATCGTGTCCCTCGTGAGTGGGATAATATGAGTAGGTAATGACAACAGAAGGCTATTACCGTCACACCATGATGGACAGAGAGCATATTGATGGAAGCCAATTGGACATGAAGCCAATTTAACAGGATAAGTGATTATTGCTAAATGAGTTCATTGTATTGCCGCACTCAGCAATATTACAACTATATGACGGCGGTCTGTAAATAATCGCGTCTGGACAAGACATTCAGTGATTGACAATCCAGAGCATCGATCAAGCAATTGGTATTTGATGACATACAGCAACCAAGTCAGCAAGCCTGACCTCCCGATCCCGTTAGTCTCCTCTTACGTCAAGCATGGGTTGCTGAAGACCTATTCTTACCCAGATCTTCAAAGGTGAATATGCACCTATACATGCACTGAAACACCAAGCAAGTGGAACACTTTGTATTCACCTCTACATGCAGAGATGTTCGTGGATCCCTCTACATAAAGAGTGGAGCCATCACCTGGGCAAGGCTCACAGTGGGAAGAGTTCACCCAGTAATGGTTGACAGGGCACTTGTCGCATGGTTGTTGTCCTGTTGAAGACCGAAACCCAGGGCGACACTTGCCTGAAACAATACAGTTACATCACTTGAACACACAATCATATAACCACCACAATCACATCAAGCATGCACCATAACTACTGGTGTTGGCGTATTCAAAATACACTCACTGGCACTTGCCTGAAACAATAAGTCCTCGCTGTGTGTAACACAATTATAAACATGTTAGTATCTAGGGAAGTATCACGAAAAACGTTTTCAATGATGTGTGGTATATTAAAGACATTCCACAATAAAAAAGCACTTACTGACACATCTTGCTCTGCTGGACCGCGGGGTCAATGAGTACATGTTGGCTCCACAGTTCTTACAAGAGGGTTGTCCGGACTGGTCCTGATACTGACCGTCAGGGCATTCAACACAACCTCCACTGGGAGAGGACGAGTATCCGTAGGGGCATGGTACTGAAACATGTATACAAATAGTGTGTTTTGAAATAAGGCATTGTAGAAATTCATCCTGGCCTGTTCAATTGCAGATTGTTCAGTCGTTTTATCATAGCAGAAAGGACATTTAGTAGAGAGACATATGTAGCGATAGACAGTAGCACAGTACTGAAGCAGACAGACACACAGTGAATTCTCACTAAGGCGAAACCTTTAAATTGGGAAATCCTCATATGTAGACACTTGACTTTGGTCCCGCCACGCTCACTATATTATCAGCATTATTATATATCTGGTGAGTAGAACCCTTTAGATAGAAACACCTGTTACTTAGATACAATAACTGATAAGTAGAATCATATATTGATGGAAACGAATAATTAATCAATGAAAGGTAAATGGAAATAACCTTTACTGTCAGTACATTTGAAATAGCGCGCATACAAAGTCAACACATGTCAGGATCAAATGTTGAGACGTGGTGGTGTGCATTAGTGACAACGTGTATTTGGTAGACAACACATATCTATATCTGAACAGTGGCAAGGTACTTCAACATGACTCGTCTATCTGACTGTGAACTAAGATACAAATACAAAAACATCCAAACGTGATGATCAGGGAAGGCGGCTGTTCCCCATGGCTTAGATAGAGAGGGCTAATTGATAAATATGGTGTTGAGGAACATGCATTTTATAAAGATTTATAAACACGGTCAAACCTTTAAATACCTTGAAACACCGAACCGATGTGCCTAGGCCTACCACTATATACAAACCGAATGCTATTTCATTTTAAACAATAATGGCCGAGAAATGACCAATGAGAGCTAAGGTAACTTTAACTCCTGTCACATTGACTAAAACACAGTCAGGTCTCATCACTTGGTGAAAAACCATTTGAAGTTTCATTTCTCAAGTCAACGAATTCCAGTGTCAGTGTTCGAAATGAAAATGAGAACTAAGATCGTGGTCAAAATACATGGCCCAATCAACATCAAAACTTCAAATATACTGACAGCCCCCGAGAGTTTCACTACCAATGTAACATACAACAAATGCATTTACATGTTAGTGGGAGTAAATGTTGATGTCCAGCACCTTCCGCGGAAGGTGCCCTATGAATATTCATGAGCCTATTGTTATGGTAATAGACTGTAGGACGTCACAAAGAAAACGGCGTCATTATGCATACATGTTAAGAATGTGAAGAATGCGGCCTTTGTTAAAATGTGAAGAATGCGGCCTTTGTTAAAAAATGTCATAGTTGAGGAATTCCTTGGGAATTCCAGCTATTTGGAATTCTTTAGGAATGCCAGCTAGGTGGAATGTAGTCGGGGTTGATATCTTCAGATGTATACTAGAATGAGCGTCATCAAACGGAATGTCACCCTATCGTGAAAGAATGAAACAGTCCTCGATCTCTTGATATAGCTACAAGCTAGTAGAATGTCGTCATCGAGACAAAGAGTAGAATGTACGAGTTCATTCACTCGTTGTAAGATGAATGGTTTCTGACAGACAGTCGTACAGTTATCTCTATTCCAGTGACAGTACCCTATTTGCGTATTTATTGTGATATCAACAACATTAACCTAAGCTCAAAATGGGAACAGTGACATTCGAAGCCTCGTCTAGTAATATAGTTTACAAATTCTTAGTGGGTGAGTGAATTGGGTTTAACGCCGCTTTTAACAATATTCCAGTTATATCGCGGCGTGTCAGCTTTATGTGGGAGGAAATCCCGAAGTGATGCAGGTCTCAGACGTTTACCACTTCGGTGAAACCCACGAGCACGGGTATGGTGCTAACAAACCTAGAAACATAATCGGGGCGAAGTGGGAATCGAACCCACAATCATAGGTTTCTGGCCTGTCCAAGGGACGCAACTCTGCACAGCCAATCGCGGCGCCTTAGACGACTGGGCCACCCGTGCCCCCTACAGATTTTTAAGGTCCTCATAGTGAGGTAATAGTATTATGACTGATGGTTAAAGCTGTGACTGTGGCAGTATGGGCTGTTATTAGTAGGTTATAAGGATTATGACCTACTATGCGAACAGACAAGATCTTATCGTTGACGTCATAGCATAACTGCAGGAGGGACAACGGAAGCAAGACACCCTCCATCCTAAGTCCAGTAAACCAGCACACTTACAACACTTCTTGCTTCCCCCGACGTCCCTCAGCTGGTATCCAACACTACACGATTGTCCGGACCGAGTGAGATTAACGCCCGTGGAAGTGTCCTGCACAGTGAAGTTACATCCTCCGGCTACCAGTCCAAACAACACTTTCTTCTGCAGGTTGATTGTGCCGGCGCAATGTTCCAGAGCTGTAATCCGGCCATCGTTATTCTCCAGTTTGAGTGTCAGTTCCACCTTGTGCTGAAAGGGAGACATGGTTTGGTAGCATTAGTGTACTGGACACACACATTGTACACCGTCAAAGCATGATTGTACTGAACATGTACTTCACATTGTACACCGTGATAGCATCAGTGTACTGAACATGTACTTCACATTGTACATCGTGATAGCATCAGTGTACTGAACATGTACTTCACATTGAACACCGTGATAGCATCAGTGTACTGAACATGTACTTCACATTGTACACCGTGATAGCATCAGTGTACTGAACATGTACTTCACATTGTACACCGTGATAGCATCAGTGTACTGAACATGTACTGAACATTGTACACTGTGATAGCATCAGTGTACTGAACATGTACTTCACACTGAACACCGTGATAGCATGATTGTACTGAACATGTACTTCACACTGTACACCGTGATAGCATCAGTGTACTGAACATGTACTTCACACTGTACATCGTGATAGCATCAGTATACTAAACATGTACTTCACATTGTACATCGTGATAGCATCAGTGTACTGAACATGTACTTCACACTGTACACTGTGATAGCATCAGTATACTGAACATGTACTTCACCTTGTACATCGCGTAAGCATCAGTGTACTGAACATGTACTTCACACTGTACACTGTGATAGCATCAGTATGCTTAACATGTACTTCACACTGTACACTGTGATAGCATCAGTATACTGAACATGTACTTCACATTGTACATCGTGATAGCATCAGTATACTGAACATGTACTTCACACTGTACACCGTGATAGCATCAGTATACTGAACATGTACTTCACATTGTACATCGTGATAGCATCAGTGTACTGAACATGTACTTCACACTGTACACCGTGAAAGCATCAGTATACTGAACATGTACTTCACATTGTATACCGTGAAAGCATCAGTATACTGAACATGTACTTCACGATGTACAGCGTGAAAGCATCAGGGGACTGAACATGTACTCCACACTATACACCGTGATAGCATCAGTGCACTGAACATGTACTTCACATTGTACACCGTGATAGCATCAGTGTACTGAACATGTACTTCACATTGTACACCGTGATAGCATCAGTGTACTGAACATGTACTTCACACTGTACACCGTGATAGCATCAGTGTACTGAACATGTACTTCACACTGTACACCGTGATAGCATCAGTGTACTGAACATGTACTTCACATTGTACACCGTGAATGCATCAGTGTACTGAACATGTACTTCATATTGTACACCGTGATAGCATCAGTGTACTGAACATGTACTGCACACTGTACACCGTGAAAGCATCAGGGGACTGAAATTAATTGATACGAGGTTTCAAGAATCAGGGGTATTAAAAGAACACTTTATTCGTGGCAACTGTGTTTGTCAGGATCTTTTCTATTTCTAATATTAATGATAATTGAATATTAATTAACTTAGTTTACAAACTCCGATTGCAATGCTATCACTTTGTAGCCCCACCGCTAGAGCATATACCGATTCAATACTTGAACACAGAATAAAATCCCTGTAGACATGTTCACGTACATCAAAGAGACTGAGAGCACCAACAAAGATGGCCTCGGCGACAGTGAAGCGGTAATAGTCGCGCAGCTGTCCCTGAATCGGACACAGACTGTTGATGCCGGATGATGCAGGGGATATCACATCGTTGTAAAACTGGTTCAGGTTGTCACGGCATGCAGTGTTTGAGGGAACCGGACCATCACTCTTCAGATCCAAGCTGACACTGTACGTGTACTCAGTTGTTGTGGTGGCTGCAGGAGAAGGTATACAAGATGTGGAAATGTCAACATGAACATATACACAGAGAGAAAGAGATAGAGAGAGAGGGAGGGGGAGGGGGAGAGAGAGAGAGCGAAAGAGATATATAGAGAGAGAGGGGGAGGGATAGAGGGGGAGAGAGAGAAAGAGAGAAAATAGGAGAAAGATTCGTCTTTAGCCTGTAAAAACCGGTAAGTGTAAATTTCAAGAAAGAAATGTGTACTAAACCCTTCAGGTTATAAAACTTGGTTTATGGTCTAGTCACTGTTATCCAGTAGCAGTTCCACCTACGTAAACAGTCCTCTAGGGGGAGGGATGGTGACCAGACATTTCCGCCCGAACAGTTGTATGTCCGACTTGTGGAGCCGTCAGCAAACGCATGTTCACTGTTGCAGGTGACGACGTAGGAGAGGATGCTGCCGTCGGTGTTGTTGGAGCGAGTAATGTCGGCGTTCTGTGGAGTGTTGGTCAATTCACGGAAACATTGTCCAGCTTAAACAAGAAAGGCAAGCACTAAATGTGTGACAAGACTTCCATTTTCCTATATCAACTTTCTCTTTATTAAGTCAAGCAATATTCCAGCAGTTGCAGCCTTTGACGTGCACAGTTCACAACTTTTGAGGTACAATTGAATCGAACATGCTCTTTCGTCAATGATTTCAAATAGCGTCACACAACACTTGCACCAAAGTTGTTTGATCAGGATTACAATATCGTAGGCCCCAGTAAAGCTTTCAAACATCTCTATGGTAGAACCGTGGAGGATAGTTTCAAATTTGACGGATCAGTGAATGACAGTATGTCAGATGCAATTCCTTATGTTGACTTGCACCATATAATCCCGTGTGTTTTCGGTTTAACAATAGACTTGTCTTTGCATGTGTTTGTGACTGGCAGGATACGCTCACCCTTGTGCCAACACCTGGTGCCATCACTAACTGATAGTGAGTCATTAACGCATGCTTATGATGTAGTCGGAGTCGTGGAATGAACTCTGCATTTAGTAGAGATTTCTGATGATAATGGACATGTTTTTTTTGTGGCTTTAATTCCCAACAATCACTTGCAAGTCCTCTTAAACACCTACTATCCTGTTCGTGCTCTGTCATTGCTAGGGATTGGTACATATATTAGTATGATTAGCGCTATCAATAGAAATCCTACTTGAAATATGTATTTATTGTTCTGAGTCCACAACGCTTCTGAAGGAAAGTGTGTGTGCATTATATTTGAATAATATTATCCTCTTAAACAACACTCTTATCAGACACAAACAATTGTTTCGAGTTTAAACGTTTTGTCGAAGAATAAAGCACGAGCTTGAGAATAATGGGAGTATACCTTTGATTAGAACTTGGAAGGCACATGTTTCTTCAAATCCCTGGTCGGTGCGTAGCGTCACTCTGTAGTCATGGAATGTCCCCACATTGGACAAACTGGCGGTGATTGTAGGGTCGGAGGTCAGTGTTCCGCCAGAGTGGCTGATGATGTCGGTGATCTTGTGAGTTGTAGATGTTGTTGTCACATTGTATGTCACATTAGGACAGTCCAGAGTGATGGAACCTCTTTCTGAAAAGTCATAAGATATTTTGATTAACCTTTCAACTTTAATAACTAGTTTATGAAAATATAACTTACATCTACCTTCGTCTTACATATTAGTGTAAGAAAGAACACATTTGGTGATTAGGAACATACAATGTCATTTAGAAAGCTATCAAATGTAAAAAAATGTTATTTTTGAGATAGCTCTTTTCTTAGTATTAAAAGTAAAGACACTAGTACATTTTGGGGTTGAGTCCTTGCCGGGTAAACTAAAATTCCGACAACTATCTTCCCCTCTGACAAGTGTAAATTAGCACGGCTCCCATGGCCAAAAGCTAGGAACACACAATGCCATTTAGAAAGTGCTCAAATGTGACACATTTTACGTTTGGGATAACATGTTCTTGTAATCACTGTACAGATTCTAGTAACATTTGGACTTCAAACCCCGACTTAACGCAAAAAAGGACTCGAAATTGTACCTTCCTCAAAAAGTGTTATCCCAAATATAACATTTGTTACATTAAGTGGTGTGTGTGTGTTTCTGATTGTGGTTGTGTGAGTATGTGTGTGAGTGTAAATCTGTGTGTATGAGTGTGTGTTTAAATGTATGTACGTTATCATGGATATTTAAAGCTGAGCAAACAAAAGAGTGCTGTTGATATTGTGAGTTTGTGAGTGTGTGTGAGTGTGTGGGTGTGTGAGTGTGTGTGTTTTTTCAGGGTGCGTGAAATGCGTATTTAACACTGAAGGAACACACTGAACTCGAGAGATCCGTGTATAAGTGATAACTGTGTTTGATGGAGAGCTCCTTGACATTCTACCTCTGACATTGATCTGGAACTTGCACTGAGCATGTCGACCAGCGCCATCGGTTACTTCATACGTCACTTCCGTGTTCCTGAACACTGGGTCTGCAGGATTGAAGCCGGTGGGGATGGTGAAACCTGTCATGCTCAGAAAACCTGAGTTGTCTTGAACAGAGGGGATGGTGATGCTTGGTGCCTGCATCTTGTCTATAGTAATGGTCCTGTCACCGTCACAGTTGGTAAACACCGGGGGACTTGTATCTGTAAAACAATAAACAGTAATTCAATATGCAATAGGACATCACGTGTGTGACTGTATAACAATATATAATAATTCTATATGCATCAGGGAGCGACGTGTGTGACTGTTTTACAACATACAGTAATTCAATATGTCAGGATTTGAAGTTTATATCTGCATTACATCATACAGTTAGTCAATACATACTTGGACTTTGAGTGTGTATCTGTATGACAATAAACAGTAATCCGGTTTGCATTAGGTATCTGCATCAAAAGTACAATAATTTAATATACAATATGACTTTAACAAATCCATCCATTGATTACCTTCACATACAGGAACACTTCATTTCAGTGATCACCTTCACATACAGGAACACTTCCAACCAGTGATTACCTTCACATAGAGAAACACTTCCACCCAGTGATCACCTTCACATACAGGATCACTTCCACCCACTGATTACCTTCACATACAGGAACACTTCCACCCAGTGATTACCTTCACATACAGGAACACTTCCACCCAGTGATTACCTTCACATACAGGAACACTTCCACCCAGTGATTACCTTCACATACAGGAACACCTCCACCCATTGATTACCTTCACATAGAGGAACACTTCCATCCAGTGATTACCTTCACATACAGGAACACCTCCACCCAGTGATTTCCATCACATACAGGAACACCTCCACCCAGTGATTACCTTCACATACAGGAACACTTCCACCCAGTGATTACCTTCACACACAGGAACACTTCCACCCAGTGATTACCTTCACATACAGGAACATTTCCACCCAGTGATTACCTTCACATACAGGAACACTTCCATCCAGTGATTACCTTCACATACAGGAACACCTCCACCCAGTGATTTCCATCACATACAGGAACACTTCCACCCAGTGATTACCTTCACATACAGGAACACTTCCACCCAGTGATTACCTTCACACACAGGAACACTTCCACCCAGTGATTACCTTCACATACAGGAACACTCCCACCCAGTTACTAACTTCACATACAGGAACACTTCCACCCAGTTACTAACATCACATACAGGAACACTTCCACCCAGTGATTACCTTCACATACAGGAACACTTCCACCCAGTGTTTACCTTCACATAGAGGAACACTTCCACCCAGTGTTTACCTTCACATACAGGAACACCTCCACCCAGTGATTACCTTCACATACAGGAACACTTCCATCCAGTGATTACCTTCACATACAGGAACACCTCCACCCAGTGATTTCCTTCACATACAGGAACACTTCCACCCAGTGATTACCTTCACATACAGGAACACTTCCACCCAGTGTTTACCTTCACATAGAGGAACACTTCCACCCAGTGTTTACCTTCACATACAGGAACACTTCCACCCAGTGAATACCTTCACATACAGGAACACTTCCATCCAGTGATTACCTTCACATAGAGAAACACTTCCACCCAGTGATTACCTTCACATACAGGAACATTTCCACCCAGTCATTACCTTCACATACAGGAACACTTCCATCCAGTGATTACCTTCACATACAGGAACACCTCCACCCAGTGATTTCCATCACATACAGGAACACTTCCACCCAGTGATTACCTTCACATACAGGAACACTTCCACCCAGTGATTACCTTCACACACAGGAACACTTCCACCCAGTGATTACCTTCACATACAGGAACACTCCCACCCAGTTACTAACTTCACATACAGGAACACTTCCACCCAGTTACTAACATCACATACAGGAACACTTCCACCCAGTGATTACCTTCACATACAGGAACACTTCCACCCAAGTGTTTACCTTCACATAGAGGAACACTTCCACCCAGTGTTTACCTTCACATACAGGAACACCTCCACCCAGTGATTACCTTCACATACAGGAACACTTCCATCCAGTGATTACCTTCACATACAGGAACACCTCCACCCAGTGATTTCCTTCACATACAGGAACACTTCCACCCAGTGATTACCTTCACATACAGGAACACTTCCACCCAGTGTTTACCTTCACATAGAGGAACACTTCCACCCAGTGTTTACCTTCACATACAGGAACACTTCCACCCAGTGAATACCTTCACATACAGGAACACTTCCATCCAGTGATTACCTTCACATACAGGAACACTTCCACCCAGTGATTACCTTCACATACAGGAACACTTCCACCCAGTGATTACCTTCACATACGGGAACACTTCCACCCAGTGGTTACCTTCACATACAGGAACACCTCCACCCATTGATTACCTTCACATACAGGAACATTTCCACTCAGTGATTACCTTCACATACAGGAACACTTCCACCCAGTGAATACCTTCACATAGAGAAACACTTCCACCCAGTGAATACCTTCACATAGAGAAACACTTCCACCCAGTGATTACCTTCACATACAGGAACACTTCCACCCAGTGATTACCTTCACATACAGGAACACTTCCACCCAGTGAATACCTTCACATAGAGAAACACTTCCACCCAGTGATTACCTTCACATACAGGAACACTTCCACCCAGTGATTACCTTCACATACAGGAACACTTCCACCCAGTGAATACCTTCACATACAGGAACACTTCCACCTAGTGAATACCTTCACATAGAGAAACACTTCCACCCAGTGAATACCTTCACATAGAGAAACACTTCCACTCAGTGATTACCTTCACATACAGGAACATTTCCACCCAGTGAATACCTTCACATACAGGAACACTTCCACCCAGTGAATACCTTCACATACAGGAACACTTCCACCCAGTGAATACCTTCACATAGAGAAACACTTCCACCCAGTGAATACCTTCACATAGAGAAACACTTCCACCCAGTGATTACCTTCACATACAGGAACACTTCCACCCAGTGAATACCTTCACATAGAGAAACACTTCCACCCAGTGATTACCTTCACATACAGGAACACTTCCACCCAGTGATTACCTTCACATACGGGAACACTTCCACCCAGTGGTTACCTTCACATACAGGAACACCTCCACCCATTGATTACCTTCACATACAGGAACATTTCCACTCAGTGAATACCTTCACATACAGGAACACCTCCACCCAGTGATTACCTTCACATACAGGAACACTTCCACCCAGTTACTAACTTCACATACAGGAACACTTCCAACCAGTGATTACCTTCATAAACAGGAACACTTCCACCCAGTGATTATCGTCACATACAGGAACACTTCCACCCAGTTACTTACTTCACATACAGGAACACTTCAATCTAGTGATAACCTTCACATACAGGGACACTTTTACCCAGTGGCTACCTTCACATACAGGAACACTTCCACCCAGTGTTTACCTTCACATACAGGAACACTTCCACCCAGTTACTTACTTCACATACAGGAACACTTCCACCCAGTGATTACCGTCACATACAGGAACACTTCCACCCAGTGATTACCTTCACATACAGGAACACTTCCACCCAGTGATTACCTTCACATACGGGAACACTTCCACCCAGTGATTACCTTCACATACGGGAACACTTCCACCCAGTGATTACCTTCACATACGGGAACACTTCCACCCAGTGGTTACCTTCACATACAGGAACACTTCCACCCAGTGATTACCTTCACATACGGGAACACTTCCACCCAGTGGTTACCTTCACATACAGGAACACCTCCACCCATTGATTACCTTCACATACAGGAACATTTCCACTCAGTGATTACCTTCACATACAGGAACACTTCCAACCAGTGATTACCTTCATAAACAGGAACACTTCCACCCAGTGATTACCGTCACATACAGGAACACTTCCACCCAGTGGCTACCTTCACATACAGGAACACTTCCACCCAGTGTTTACCTTCACATACAGGATCACTTCCACCCAGTGATTACCTTCACATACAGGAACACTTCCACCCAGTGATTACCTTCACATACAGGAACACTTCCACCCAGTGATTACCTTCACATACAGGAACACCTCCACCCAGTGATTACCTTCACATACAGGAACACTTCCACCCAGTGATTACCTTCACATACAGGAACACCTCCACCCAGTGATTACCTTCACATACAGGAACACTTCAATCTAGTGATAACCTTCACATACAGGAACACTTCCAACCAGTGATTACCTTCATAAACAGGAACACTTCCACCCAGTGATTACCGTCACATACAGGAACACTTCCACCCAGTGGTTACCTTCACATACAGAAACACTTCCACCCAGTTACTTACTTCACATACAGGAACACTTCCACCCAGTGATTACCTTCACATACAGGAACACTTCCACCTAGTGATTACCTTCACATACAGGGACACTTTTACCCAGTGGCTACCTTCACATACAGGAACACTTCCACCCAGTGTTTACCTTCACATACAGGAACACTTCCACCCAGTGATTACCTTCACATACAGGAACACTTCCACCCAGTGATTACCTTCACATACAGGAACACTTCCACCCAGTGATTACCTTCACATACAGGAACACCTCCACCCAGTGATTACCTTCACATACAGGAACACTTCCACTCAGTGATTACCTTCACATACAGGAACACCTCCACCCAGTGATTACCTTCACATACAGGAACACTTCAATCTAGTGATAACCTTCACATACAGGAACACTTCCACCCAGTGGTTACCTTCACATACAGGAACACTTCCAACCAGTGATTACCTTCATAAACAGGAACACTTCCACCCAGTGATTACCGTCACATACAGGAACACTTCCACCCAGTGGTTACCTTCACATACAGAAACACTTCCACCCAGTTACTTACTTCACATACAGGAACACTTCCACCCAGTGATTACCTTCACATACAGGAACACTTCCACCTAGTGATTACCTTCACATACAGGGACACTTTTACCCAGTGGCTACCTTCACATACAGGAACACTTCCACCCAGTGTTTACCTTCACATACAGGAACACTTCCACCCAGTGATTAC